TATGTTTCCACTAAATTGTTTATGTGAATTTTGAAATGAAACAAGAACAAGAACAACGAACTTAATATCAAATACAAATATGTTTATTGGGAATCGATGATCTACTTAAATGAGCAGCAGTGTGAGTATGTACGAGTGCCTGTGTGAGTATGTACGAGTATTTGCTACAATGCTGGTGTGTTAAGTGCTTAAAGAACGTTCCATTTAAAGGCGTAGTCATAAAACAGCGGGCAATTGCAAACGCAGAACACACGCGGCATGTGCAGCAATTAAAGACACACAACACTCAACACACAGCGCACAACACACAGTACACAAGTGACCAGGCCACTAAAATTTACAACAACAGGAAATTGCATGTGGCACTCGACGCTAATTCACACCGGAAGAGCAACGACACACACACACACACACACAGAAGCGCGCACAATTGCAGGCAGCCAGCAGTCAGCATTCGGCAGCCGGCAGAGGCAGGAGCAGGAGCAGGAACAGCTGCATCTTATGCACTGACGACTCACCCTAGCATTGTCCATGAACTGCAGCACGGACAATGAACACATATACACATGCATAAATTGCAATCTACACGCGCTGCGTACTCATTTATTAATAATGCATTTGCAGTTGTCCGCCATTCGCCGTACGCTGTCCGTTGTTCATTGTTCGCTGTTTGCTTTGCCTTGGTGCTCCGTTCCGCGAGCGTTTCGCCTTGATTCGAGGTTCTCTGCTGCAGTTCAGGTGGTTGCAGAGTTCGCATTTATTTCCAGCACCAGAAGCGACGACCACAACCACTACAATCTGCAGCTTAAATCTTCATTAGTCGTGATTTTAGCTTTCAAATTAGCACTCAGTGTGCTCATTGCACTTATTTTTCACGCCAATTTGCGGTCTGGGTACTGAAGATTCCGACCAAAAGCAATTAGTAAAGAAGTCTTAAGACAGTGGAAAAGTGGCTGAATGCTTAAAGAAAATTTAAGCCGTATTTAAATACGCAAGAAAACACACAAATCAAATATCAATTATTTTATGAAAAGCTATACAAAATAGTTATTTACGGTTTTTTATTTAATGACGAAAAACTCATTTATTTCTTGTTCAAAAGTTAAACACTGACCTCAGCAAAGAAATAAACTTGCATCTCAAAGTTAAAAGTTGCTGCCACATATTGATGGTTAGACACATCTTTTATTGACATTCTGTCAAAATTACAAATCAAAAACTTTCTGAACACTATTGTTACTAGTCTCGTAACGTAGTTTAATGCTACCCTGTACCAAGCGTCAAAATCCCTCCCATTCGGCTCAAGAACACCCAAAAAGGTTAACAAGTCATTTGTTTCTACGATTGGAAGAAGATTCTTCATGGGACTCCATTCCACCTACCCAAATGCTTAATGCTCTATTTTCTGTTGGTGTTTTGAAGCGCATATAGTCAAGAAGTTACTTGGAGAATGTCTCATCGGTCAACAGTTGTGACTGATTTTCTTTGAACACTCTTTTGAAATGCTTTTTGAACAAGCGATCCCTGTATTTTGAAACGCGAAATTAATATAATAGAGTATAACTTTAATTGCGGCCCAGTGCGACCGTTAAATACCCTGTAGTCACCCTTTTTCCCACTTAGACCAATTAAATAAATGGACTTTGTTGCACCAGTCATTCCTATAGCAGCTATATGGTATGCTACAGATTAAAGTGACTCTGAACTTAAAAATACAAAATTTGCTTACCATATCATAAAAAACAAACAAGTTTTTGGTACAACGATTGCTGAAACCTCTGACCATTATAATACACTATAAATTATGTAAGACTACCCTATTTTCTTAAGATATATAAACACAAAAGCTTTAGTGCTAAGAGTAATTTTTGGGACATTGATTACAAAATATTGAGGCTGAAAATTTATATTATTTTATATAAATTATTAAAAACAAAGAAAGAATGGGACGCTTGCTCTTAATTTTTTAATGCGGAAAATGCGAACGATTTGGCGACAAATGTGCTTATATTTAGTTCTATTTTACAACTGACTTTAACTTAGGCTTACATGCTAAACTAAGCCTAAGGCGGCGAAAAAAGGGCGCGAGGCGACGTCCGCAAACGGCCGCTCTCGCGCTCTCTTTTCGCCCTAAACTAAAATTCAAATAATTCTCTTAAACTATCTTAATCTAAAGCAGCATCTGCGCCAACACCGGCCCCCTTGGAGGGACATCGTCCTTCAACGGGCAATGGCGCCAGCCGATGAATAGCCCTCCGTAGATTGCCACTACTCGTGGCGACGTCGGCCACCCGCACCTTCCCGTCTGTCCCGGCGTGAGTTGTGGTGACCCTGCCAAGTATCCACTTTTGTGGCGGCACGTTGTCTTCGGCCACCACGACGAGTTGTCCCACGACGACGTTGGGTTCCTCCTGGAACCACTTCGCTCGCACCTGGAGGCTCGAAATGTACTCCCGGGACCATCGCTGCCAAAACCTGTGCTTGAGACACGAGGCATTGCGCCATCGCCTTAAGCAGGTTTGGCTGTCGATGTCCGGGAGCGGTGGAGCTGGAGTCGCCAGAAGAGGCCGCCCGATCAGAAAGTGGCCCGGGGTTAGCGCCTCGCCGTCGCTGGGGTCCGCGCTGAGTGGTCCCAGTGGCCGAGAGTTCAGCACGGCCTCGACGCTCGCCAGGAGTGTTCCGAGCTCTTCTGCGGTCAGGAGCGCATTGCCCACCGTCCGTAGGAACAGGTGCTTTGCAGACTTGACACCTGCCTCCCATAGACCGCCGAAGTGAGGCGCTCTGGGTGGTATGTACGCAAACTCGCATCCTTTTCTTGATGCGAATTCGCGTACGCCTTCCGCCTCCTTCTCCCATCTTGCTCGGAACTCCTGCAGCTTCCTGTCGGCTCCCACGAAGTTCGTTGCGTTGTCGCAGTAAACTTTGCGAGGGACGCCTCTCCTGCCGACGAACCTTTCAAAAGCCAAGAGAAAAGCATCAGTGGTTAGATCTGATACAAGCTCTAAGTGAACCGCTTTCGAGGCAAAACAAACGAAAAGAGCCACGTACGACTTATACGGTGGCTTGCCACGGATGCGGAGCGTTGTGCTTATAGGGCCACAAAAATCAACACCACATACTTCGAACGGGTGGAACGGCTGGAGCCTGTCTGCCGGAAGATTTCCCATTACTTGGGAGGCCAACCGGGGCTTCCATTTGAAGCAGAGGATGCACGAACGTACTGTTCGGCGACACACTTCCTGAGCGTTAACCAGCCAAACTCGCTCACGAAGCAGGCTCACCAGCGATCTAGGGCCAGCATGGCAATTTGACACATGCAAATAAGATACGTACGATCTTATGAATTGCGACTTTTTAGAAAGCAACAACGGAAACTTGGCTTCATACGGGATAGGAGCATTTAATAATCTTCCCCCCACTCTCAGCAAGGAAAACAAGAAACCGTCTTCTCTAAACTCATGTAGAAATGGACTCAGACGCTGTAAGTTAGCGTTAAGTGTTCTCTTTTTTCGAACCTTGTCGATTTCGTCACCGAACTCATTGTTCTGGATGACTTGAACAATTTTGTTGAATACCAAGTTGAGTTCGCTTGGCTTGGCTATAGGATCAAAGGGCTTCGAGACTTTTCTGCACCTTTGTATAAATCGAAAAACCCAAACGAACACCCTCAGCAATTTTGAATGTGACGAGTAGCTTTCGATAACTTCGAGAATATAATTGGCTTGCCGATCTGCGAGTAAAACTACAGCAGACTTACGAATTTCTAGGGCAGCTGAATTTTTAGGCGGCTCGAAGTGAGCATTCACAGGCCAATTTTCTTCCGATTCCATGAGGAAGGGTGGCCCTGTAAACCAAATGGAGCTACGCAACTCGTCTACATTACATCCTCTGGACACGATGTCTGCTGGGTTGGATTTCGTTGGGACATGTCGCCACGTTGCATTCTCGGACCACTCTTGGATTTGAGAAACCCTGTTTGAAACGAAAACTGACCATGCCGACGGATGCGACTTGATCCAGTGGAGCGTTATTTCCGAGTCAGTCCACATAACTATCTTGTCTATTGGAGAATTAAGCAACGGGCGGACTTGACGAAAAAGATCTGCGAGAAGGTGAGCTGCACACAGCTCAAGACGAGGCAAAGTTTTCGTCTTGAGTGGAGCTACTTTGGATTTTGAGGTCAAAAGTGACACTTTCCAACCATTCGCAGTCGAAACACGAACATAAATACAGGCGCCATAAGCTCGCATTGAGGCATCGGCGAACGCATGTATTTGAATGGGTGACTGCGTATATGTATGGACGAATCTAGGGACTTGAATACCGCTGAGGTTCAACAAATTCTGCTTAAATGAGTCCCAAACTGTATGAAGATTCTCAGGGATGGATTCGTCCCAATCTAGTTTTTGTAGCCACAAATCTTGCAGCAACATTTTTGCTTTGGTGATCAGCGGGCAAAGAAGGCCCAGAGGATCGAAAAGCCTGGCAGTCACCGATAATATGTTCCGTTTTGTCGAGCGGAGATCTAGGAAGGAATTTTCCAACTGGAACTGAAATACATCTTCCTTCGGCAACCACATAACGCCGAGCGTTTTGGTTGGGTCTGAGTCGACTGTGGCTACTGGAATAACTGTGCTATCAAATGCGGACAGTTCCGAGCAGTTCGAAAACCACTTTGCCAATTCGAAGCCTGCACTTTGAAGAACGTGCGACACTTCTGCTCGAAGCTTTTTTAGCTGTTCAACGCTTTCAGCACCAGTTAACATATCGTCGACATAAAAGTCGCTCCGAATAACTTCAGCAGCTGTTGGATGTGAGGAACGGACCATTTCACTCAGCCTTGTTAAACACCGCACCGCCAAGAACGGAGCTGGCGACGTGCCATATGTTACAGTGTTTAACCTGAAGATTTTCAAAGACTCAGACGGATCTCTTCGCCACACTATGAGCTGATAGTTTCTATCTGCTTCGTGCACCATCACCTGACGGTACATTTTTTTAATGTCTGCCGCTAAGGCGAACTTTCGCAAACGAAAACGAAGCAGCGTAGAATAAAGCTCCTCCTGAATTGTTGGACCGACCATTAAGGTATCATTCAACGCAATCTGAGTGGCCGTGCGGCAAGAGGCATCGAAAACGACACGCAACTTGGTCGACGTGCTTTGAGGCCGCAGAACACACTGATGCGGAATAAAATAGTGTGGAGTATCTGGAATTTTGTTGTCCGTTGAGGACATGTGACCGAGCGAAACATACTCGTCCATAAATTCCAGATACATGCTTTTCATTTGAGGGTCTTTTGACAACCTCCTTTCAAGCGACAAAAAACGACGTTTCGCAATTTCATACGACGAGCCAAGATTTTTTGGGTCAGATTTAAAAGGTAACCGTACCTGAAATCGACCAGACGACAAGATTTTTGTATTATCAACAAAGTGTTGTTCACAAAGCTGTTGCTCAGGTGAGAGAACTTTCGAATTATTAGGCAAGTCCTCAATGGACCAAAACTTTTGTATCGTTGAGTCTATCGAAAGTAATTGTTCTTCTTGGCAACTTAAATTCACTGCTCCTTCTATACTCGTTGTAGGTTGAGTAGAGCATCTGCCTGACACTATCCAGCCGAGAAGCGTTTTTTGTAATGTGGGCGACTCAGGGCCTTGCTTTATTTGGCCCACCGACAATAAGTCGAAGAATGACTCTGCTCCAATTAGCATATCAATTTTTTGCGGCTTATGGAATTGAGGATCGGCCAATTGAATATTTTTGGGGACCCTCCACCCGCTGGTGTTCACCGCTTGATCGGGATGATAACCAGAAATCGATCCCAAGATCCAAAAATCTGCGGAAAACTCGCTACAATTGACACGCGACTTCACCACTGTATGAATTCTTTTCTTGGCACGCGCATTGGTGTCTCCAATGCCGCGCAAGACCATACACGTATCCTCTCGTCTGAGCTGTAGCTTTTGAGCTAGATCCTCAGTCACAAAGTTGACTTGTGACCCAGAATCTAACAATGCTCTTGCTAAAACGAAATCGCCACTTTTCGTTTTAACGCTCACGACTGCTGTTGCAAGAACCACTCTATCCGAAGCAGTCGCATGCATGGCATGCGAAGTGGAAGAGCTATCTTGAAGATGTGGTGGCTGAGAGGGTGGTGGTAACGCAAGATTTGTGCTAGCAGTATAAATATGTAGCAGTGTGTGATGAGAACGTTGGCACACGCTACATTTCTTTGCCTTACACTTCGCTACTGTGTGGCCTCGTCGGAGACAGTTTATGCACAAAGGCGCACCTTTAGCGAAGTCAAACCTTTGCTGTACTGACAAGGCAATATATGCCTGGCAATTGCCAATCGAATGGTCAGCTAAATTGCAAAATTGACAAAGGTTATTCTGTTCGTTTTTGGCAGCAACGAACGAATGATTTATCCTGCTAGCATTTTTTACTTTTTGAGTCTGAGTGTTATTGTTCGACTGGCTGCCCTTCGCTTGAGCTTTACTAGCTTCTTCAGCAACAATATGCTGGTAGCGTCTGTTAAGTGCAGTCTCACAATCTCGCCATAGTGGGAGCGTTGTGTAGTCGAGCTGCTCTTCCCACTTCTTTTTTGTGGTAGGATCGACTTTGCCCATAACTAAATAAATTAAAATGGCATTAGCGATTTTCTTGTCGTCACCAATTGACAGAAGTGAGTCATAGGTGGCCGACACTGTGTCGATCAGGCTTCTCAAAGCTGACGCAGATGGCTGGGAAATCTTTTGCAGATTGAAAAGTGTCGATATGTTATCGAAAAATATTAGGCAGTCATTATCGTACACCCGCTTTAGACTTTCAAGGGCTTTGCTATAATTGTCTTCCGTCACTTGGAAGGCGCGAACTGTGCCTAAAGCGTCACCAGCCAAACATGATATTAAGTGATTGAATTTTTCAATATCATGCAGTGTGTCATCATTGTGAACAAAAGTTTCAAAAAGACTCATGAAATTTTTAAATTCAGAATGCTTGCCGCTAAAAGTTGGAAGAGCGACCGCTGGCAATCGACACCTTGGCTTTTTTGAAGTAGGCGGTGCAATACCGTTTGCCGAACTTGAATTGTCGATGCTTTTTCTTCTTAGTTTTTCCAGCTGGCCTTTTAATAAGGATTTGGTCATAATGCAAGTTTCTTCCAACTCTTCACGGTAGTCATCTTCTGTATCTTTTGCTTCAATTTTACTTTGCAATATATTTGCAGTTTCTATATGAGTTGTTAGAAGCTCTAACCTGCATTCTAACTCGATTGGCTCTAACGAAATCGAGCCTTCTTTTAATTGCCGTTGCATACGACATATACTCCTCATACAGCCCTCGCGCTTCCTTTTAAGTTCTTCGATCAAGTCCTTACTCATATTGATTTAAGGTTTTAAACTTTGATCGAACGAAAATTGTCGAGTGACAAACGAGAAATCGAAAATAATATGCTGTTCTCAGCAAGTGTAGGGGAGCGCAACAGATGGTCGTCTAGCAGTGCGAACGAAAACGAGAAGAACTGCAGTTGACTGACCGTCGAAGGCAATACTTTGGAAGCAGCAGCGAAAGTGGCGACAAACGAAAAGAATAATTCTAATACAAATGCCTTGTGTGCGTTAGCAGAACAGCTAATTCTTATGCATGTATTATGCGAAGCGCAGGCAAACAAAAAATGCAGCAGCTTAAGCGCGAACACGACAGCAATGTATTAGCTATGTTATGTATGCGAGTATGTCGGTATATATTTACATATGTAATAACGACAACGGCGAATTTGATGAGAACAACGAGAGCAAGCAACAAACGAAAACTGCCGACGGTTGGCTGAGATTGACGTGGGGGGGATGCCGTATGTAAAAGTGGCTATGTATATTTATGTATGTATGTATGTATAATAAAATCAAACGACAATAAATTGGCACTTTAAATAATTGCCTATAGCGGTTCACTTTTATTTAATATTAGTACGACATGCGATTTATATTTGTGTTAATTATGCTCAACTATCTACCGTATTATATTATGGTCACGTATGTGCCAAAGGTTGAAAGTTGAAGGCCGAAATAAGCAATTCGCTGGTTAAATTCCACTTTCAAACTTTAGCACAGTACCTGTGAAGTCGACTTTGGCTCAGGAACTTCCCTTTGGTCGACTTGACTCATCCTCCAATAATCCAGTTGACGTGACAGCAACACACACACTCCCCAGTGCAGCAACAACAACACGACCGACGCGGTTCCACACAAATTAAAGTTTTTAATTTAAAAAAACAAGCAAGTCCCTGCTCGGGCGCCAATGAAAATTTATATTATTTTATATAAATTATTAAAAACAAAGAAAGAATGGGACGCTTGCTCTTAATTTTTTAATGCGGAAAATGCGAACGATTTGGCGACAAATGTGCTTATATTTAGTTCTATTTTACAACTGACTTTAACTTAGGCTTACATGCTAAACTAAGCCTAAGGCGGCGAAAAAAGGGCGCGAGGCGACGTCCGCAAACGGCCGCTCTCGCGCTCTCTTTTCGCCCTAAACTAAAATTCAAATAATTCTCTTAAACTATCTTAATCTAAAGCAGCATCTGCGCCAACAGAGGCTATATACACAGTGTCTAATAAACTTATTCTGCGTATGGCTTAGACTATGTACGCATTTTTCTGCCTGTATCATGCATTTGACGTTTGAACTTTCGCTCTTTAGGTACAGAGTATAAATAATATACACATAACTAATCAGTTCATGCATATTTATGTAAATATAAATTGAAACAATATTGGAAAAAATAGATACTAAAAATTAAAAAACCGGAAACCACAAAAAATGAAAATATTTGACATATAGTAACTAGACATTACATTCTTCCGGCCTGCAACGGGACAGAATAATTTATTTCGTTGGAAAAAAATGCAAAAAAATGTCATAACCATAAAAAGCACCGAGGCGGCTCTGTGAGGTGAGATATACAATAAAGCGCACACACACACACACAAACACACAGGCGCACAAGGCACCACACATATATATACAGATGTATAGATCAAATACAGTCAGCCGGCAGCCGTACAAGTCGAATGAATTATTGCGATTCTTGTTGGTGACATTTATGTATTTTTAAAGGTGGCAGCTCTGGCTGCTGTTGGCATAGAATAGAAACCACCCACAACTGAAAACAAATGTGTAGGCGTTCCTTGAAGATGTATTGATTTTAAGAAATTGGCTACATCCGGGCCAGGACTCACAAGAGCAAATTACACTGAAACTGATACTTTAAATTAGTGCTGAAAAATATTTGGATAAGGAGGAGGAATCAAATAATGATAAACCATTCGACTGCACATATTTGCTGCTTCATCCGATTGACCTAAATATTTTGTCTTTGCTTTCAATCTTTGTGCTAAATAAATTTTTTCTTCAATGATATTTAAGTTGTCAAAGTTCTGCATTTTAAGAAAAATATTTTTATTAATTTGTATGGTTGGTTTATTTGTTTAATTTATATTATAGCCAGAATGAAATGTGGTATTTTTTAAATATTCAAGTTCTTAGAAAACTTGAATTGCTTAGGTATTTCAGAGTCAGGTCCGGGGTTCAACTGTTAATTTTTCGCTAGTCACAGACATTGTGATTTTAAAGATAGCCCAACCAAATGGGTCAGAGCGCATCTAATCACATAATATTACGGCAATTAGCTACCACATGTGAGTCTTAATATATAAGAGTGTGGCGTGATTTCAAATCTTTCGCCGCACTTCATGCGTATTTTCACTTTTCAGTTTATTAAACAAAACAAAGCTACTAAAATAGCACAAAATAAAGTTTATCTGCGCCTCTCAATGGAGAGTTTTTATGCCACATACGCATACACACATACACACACACACTAACAGACACGCACAGACGGCCGGACTAATCCGAGCCACAACTAATCCTATTTAAGTTTTATTTGTTTGAGTTGAAAATTTTGTCATTTCGTACGTTTCTCTGCGGTCTGATTTGATTTTCTATCACAAAACAAAAGCATTTTCCTTCGTTTTTTCAACTGCACGGCGAATTGTTTATATAGATGTTTAGAGCTTAAATCTTTTTTATTCAATGCCTGCCGTTGATTTTGTCGTTGTTGCAGTGGTTGGAGCGGTTCGAGCGAGGGGTGCTACGCCTAGCAAAACATTTCACTTCTCTTTTTTTTCTTTTTTTTTTTTGCCATGGCATTAGTGAAAAATCAATTGAGCGATGCCAACAATCAAAACCGTAAGCCACGAAACCAAAACCGCACATCAGTTGTTGGATGGGCCAGTTAGAACTGTGGGGGAGTTGGAACTATATACTATTTACGATAGATGGTATATGAATGTCCTCCTGCCGGGTGTGGTTGCTGAAATGATGAAATTGCTATTGGCAGCTTAAAGCGGCTTAACTTTTATTAAGCTGAGCAATTTGAAGTCTTTCCCTTGTGGACTGTAAAGTTCCGTTTGAGCAGCAGTTTAATGTCATTTGAAAACAAAACATTTGCCCAAACGAGGCGTGCATGGCAAGTCATTAAAGTGCATGAAAAACGAAATTAATTACAGACTTTCGGTTTCTATGGCGCCGCTGCCTCCGGCTCTTCGCCAAGTCCGAGCCAAGTCCCCTTCCCTTCTTAGCTAATTTGTAATGTTTATTTTTGTCTTTGTATATTTCTCATGCACTTGGCGCATTTGCATTAAAAGTTTTTCACTTTTTTATTGCCGAGTCGGGTGTCTGGGCTACCTTTCTTGTAGCTTTTGCTTTGCGGCCACACTAAATTACGTGCAACTATTTTTTTATGTGCATTTCTTTCATTTGTTGTTGTTTTTGGTGAAAATTCTCGCTGCGTACAACAAAATTTATCACTTTCATTTGACTAGGTTCCAAAAACAAAAACAAACAGTAGCGAAAACAAACTGAATAAATTGTAAGAGTAAAAGTACGAGTAAGTTAGCTGGAAGTGGATAGGTCTCTACGATTGGTATTCCAGTAAATTTTTTAAACTTAAATGTGACAGCAAGATACGTTGGTGATTATATTGCCAGCATTGCTGAAATGGTATTAACAACAAGAATATTAAATGGCCAACTATATAGCAGTTACCTGTGCCGAGATTGCCATACAAGGCTTGCCATATTTTTGAACTTTGTATAACTGAGCGACTAAATAGATTAAAATTTTTAATAAATATAACAGGAGAAGAGAATAATTTATTTTACGTATGTTTTGATAATAGTTGGTACAAATAATTTAAATAAGTACTTTTACATACCAAATCGGAGAGGGGAAAGTGAATCAGGGAATGCAGTTAATGAATTTTGAGGAACGAGTTTAATCAGTTTTCGGACCAGAATAAATACATTGCTGCTCTAATAAAGCATACCTGTGCCATCCACTATGGGAGATTGCCATCCAATCAATTGAGTCGCACTTTAGCTCCGATATCCGAACTTACTCGATAACAGTCTACACCAAAGACATTTTAAGAGACACCACCCACTGGACCTACCTGACCTTATAAACTAACTTAAATCTGTATAGGCATTATACAACTTAAGTACCTAAAACCTGTCTATGTTTTCATTCCCCACTTTACAAACAATGCTTAAATTGATTAGTTTATAAGGTAATTTCAAATAAATTAATGTCATCTTTTAAATAAAAACTTTTTACCGAAAAGTGTCTTATGTCTTTTCAAAGCCATTCCAGTCGGTCGTTTGTAGCACCCGTCAAATGGCTAAACTAGAAAACTACTACGGCTTCAATACTAAACAGGCGTCCGTTTTAGCAACCTACAACTAATAGCCAAATCTTGGAAACTATTACAACATTTTTACAAGTATACCCAATTAAATACTTTTTTGAACACATACTCGCATATTTTGTATTTTAAAAGAGGAATTTAAACAAGGTAATGCTTTAGTTCTGAAGAGCTTAATCAGGTTAATTGCTAGTGTTTATTTGATCATTCTCACAGCAAGTTGTTAATTTGTTTTAATTAAAATACAAACACGTTTCATGTCCATGTACGATACGTATACGAGAAGAACTACAAGTGTAATCAAAAATGTTGCTAAGCTGGCAAGACGAGCGCAGACCAGGAAAAACTTACATGTTATACGCGTACTTAACATTAATTTCACTTTCTTTGCCCGCTTGTCGAACGGAATAAAAGTAGCTTTAATACCAGACAGATATACTTGTAGTATGGAAACATGTTTGATATCAACATAATTAGTCACGTAGTTGTTATGTTTCTTTTAATGTGACGACGAACGCGCTCATAATGCGGCATTGACATTACGAGTATGTGTGGAACTTAAGGCGTTAGTGTGTGCCCCTCTGCGTGTGTGTGTGTGTGTGTGTGTGTGTGTGTAAGGGAAGGTAACGGCAAATGTTATAAAATAAACATATAACGTGCCCTCCACACTTCAGTATGTGTGTGTGCGTGTAGTATACGTGTATGAAGCATTAAATGTGTGTGTCTCTGACAGCTATAAATAATCAGCATGCATAGAAGTGTCAAAGATTTTATTTGTGCGCTTTTACTTTCAAATTAAAGACAGAATGCAGAAATGAAGAAGTTACGCAGCGACAGCCTGGCCTGTATGCATGCAAATAATTTATAATTAATGCCTACACGTACGTGTTTATTTAAATAATACCATTTATGGGATTAGTTATTATTGCCCGCAAACTTGGGCCAATTTTCTTGTGAAAGTGGGCAAAAACAGTTGCCATAATAAAAACCGCAAACTAGAAATTGCCGCAATAAGACGGCAGCAATAAAACAAGAAATATACCTCTATATAAGAATTCACGACTTTGGAATACTCTAAAAAGACACAGAGCAACATGCAGAAAACCCGAACGAATAACGAAGGCTGACGATATTTTTGCAAAAACATAAATACATACAAATACAATCAAAGTTAAAGAAATTATTTCAAAACAAAAATTATAAATAAGTTGTATACACTATCTGGCATATCAGAGAAAACTTCACTGATAGAAACTAGTTTAGTTATGGCAGGCACTGTTAAAATGTAATATTGCTGAATATTTTCCTACCCACAAAGTAATAGGCCCTTCCTTTCAATTTAATAGATGAAGGGTATGCCATTAGAGCGCTGGTGATAGCACCGCGGATCCATGACATTATTAAAATTTATTTCACATTATAATTATAATTGTGTGGCACCTAAGAACAATGCACAGCGGATGTGGGAAAATGTGAGATAGTGCTAAGTAGTCAAAACTGTGATTGTATCTACTATACATTCAAACAATGCGCACGAAAATTGTGTTGCCTTTGTGGCTCGACAATGCTAAGCCGTTGAAAGATTTATGCACTCGCAAGAGCAGAACTTTCACGAAAGTTCACAGACCAGCAGACCAACATTTGGCCAATGGCAGCAGCAGCAGCAGCACCAGTAACAGTAACAGCGACAGCAACAGTAACAGTCACAGTCACAGCAACAACAACGACAACAACAACTGCGGCCGACATGCGCACGAAACGTGAGAGGCATGCGCGCATGCGCCTGGCCAATTGACGCCTGACGTGGGCAAAGCTGTTACCGAAAGTAAAATTAGTTGGCTGCATGCAAATGGAAATACATATCGTATGTCTGCAGCAACGGAGAGATGGCAAGGCGTGAGATGCAGCTGGCAAGGCGTGAAAACTGTGCGGCATTTTCTAGAAAATTGAAGCCAAAATCTTTTGCATGCGGCAAGTTGAAACGCACATGACAAACGCAGCAGGCACGTAATTTGTGTCGCTGGAGCAGAAGAAGCAACAGCAATGGCAACAGGAAAGTACTGTCAGTCTATATGTCTACATACTATACATACAAGTATGTATATGTACATATTCGTATGTAAAGATGAGCTCCAAATGGAATGCTTAAAACAAGTTATGACTGCAGCGCATTGTCTCTGCGCCTCAAGAATTGTGCATTGACCTTGCGCTAGAAAATTGTTAGGCTGAAAGCCAAGTCAACCTACTGGCTGACTAACTGCCTCACTGACTGGCCCCATGCTGCTTTGTATAGATTTGTTTTAAATGGGCGAAAGCTGAATACTATTTTGGTATTTTCACCCACGGTCGTCGTCTTCATCGTCAAATGTAGCGCTCGCACTTCAAGCGATGAAAGCGTTCACCATCGCTCAAGTCGCCAAACCATTTATCAAACAAAAATACAACAGCAACAAAAATAAAAAAAGACGCGGGCGGAACCAATTAAAATTCCCAAAGCATTCGTTTTAGAAACAGAGCCAATGCGAAAAAATTAGTCTAGACACATGGATTCGGTTTCAACAGTTGATTTATAATCGAGTTACAGTGACGGACTTCAGAAGTACAATTTTATCAAGAGCGCATAATAGCGAATATAAGTAACTAATATTTATTTGAAAAGCAATACATCGTAGCCATTTTACTAGTAGGACAGTCTGGACATACAGAGCAATGAAAACCCACAGAATTGGGGGAGAAAACAATCTTTTTTTCTCGCCTGTTCTTTGTGAGGTGATGGAGCCATGTTTCATCCATGGTTCTGAATCCAGCTCCTGACTCGGCTTCATTGTTGTGAAACAATGCCAATCGCAGATTTGCTTATCAATATGCGTTGCACAGTTTTTTTTTAAATGCCTACGAATTCAGCTATCTCCTTAAATTCCATTAAAGTGGATTTTCTTGACCATCTCGGTCGATTATTGCTATGATAATCTTGGCAGCTCGTCCGACCTCTTTTAAACACTGCCACCAAATATTTCACTGTTTTAAACGAAGGAGCGACTGCCCTAGAGTAGTAAAGTAGTTCGACTTTAATATTGATTGGACTGAGACCTTTAAAAATAAAGTCGGGTACTTCTAGGCCTCAACACAACTAACTTATTTTCATAAACGTATCTGTACTCATAAATTTAATGTTGTTATGATCATAAAAGGCGCAAAGTCAATTAAATGTGAGCCACTCACACGTAAAACAAGGACTCATTGGTGGATATGAAAACATTTAAACACTAATGTAGTGAAATAATTTTCGTTAATCGAAAGTTCCGAGGCACATTCAACAAATGTGCAGGGCAAAGGCAAAAAACAGCGACACGATGTGCACATAAAAAGACAATAAAAAAGTGACATTTTGGCCAAACAACTCAAATAAATTGGGCAAGCAAAAAGCCAACACGAGGCCCAAGCCACACACAGACGGACAGCAAGACAGGCAAAGAGACGGACAGACAGTAAGACAGACAGACAGACAGAG